ATGGGGGGCGTGGGGTTTGAGTCCCAGCAGGAGCCCAGGCTCAGGTCAGACCCCCAGGCCTGGCCAGGGACCCTGCTGCTGCTCTGAGAGAGGAGTCCAGGCCAGGCCAGGCCGGCCCAGGAGGGGAGGCAACTTGCTGCGGGCCGGTGGCCTGGCTGGTCAAGGCATAGCACAGCGGCTGCTGGACCCAGGCCAGCGGCCGGCAGGCGGGCTGCACCTGCGGGGCACCTGTGTGGTCTGTGTGTGGGGGGCGGGAGCATGGGCCCACCTCAAGTCGCTTCTACAGCCTGTGGGAGCCCCAGCGGGCTCAGGGGAGCCTGCCCGTCCCGCTGCAACAAGGGGCTCAGGGAGCTGCACGCGGAGACCCTCGCCACGAGCCTCAATCGAATGTCCCAGAGTTGGCGAGGGGTCTGGGCTAATCTAACCCCCTTGAAGGGACTGTGGGGGGGTTGGGGGCCGATAGACGTACCTCCAGTGGGTGCTCACCCACCAGGCAGCCTTGTCTCTGCCCTTCCTCGGGGATCAGCTTCCTCCTGGGCTGCGAGGCCTCCTGGCCATATAAGGCCGTCTGTGGGCACCTCACCCTGCCCCCCCATGGGAACCAGAGCTTGGCCAGGCCCCCAAGGACGAGGTGGGGGAAGGGGCCTGCTAGAGCCTAGGTCCTGTGAGGCAGGAGGGCCGGATACACAAGGTCCTTCTCCTGTCCCCCCAGGGCTGCCCAGTCTGGGGTGCAGAGCAGGGAGATGGTGAGGATGGGAGGGGGGCGCTGGTGTGAACACACGTCAGTGTGTGATGGATCGTAAACTCGGTGGCTGCCTTCTTCCAGGGTCACCCCGTGAACTCCCCACAGATCCGGAACCAATAGGCCTGGACCCCCAACTTCACACCCCAGCTAGGTGCTGGGAGGTACCCTGATGGGGTTCCCCTCAAGGGAGGTACATGAGGCTGGAGCCCCCAAAGCAGCTTTGTTATTGGACTAGCCCTTCCTTTGCCTCCCGGAGGATGACTCTGGAGATGGTGGGATCTCTGGAGAGGACCCAGGCCCCTCCCATTCCCAAGGCCCCTCCCATTCCCAAGGCCCCTCCCCACCCATTCCCCGCCCTCCTGAGGCTGGGGCCTGTGATTTGTTGCTGAGGCTTGTCCCTCAGGCCCAGGGTCCAGGGAGTGGCCTCTAGTGTGTGTGTGGGGGGTTGATATCTTCTAAGGATGCAGGCACTTGTGTCCATCACAGACCACAGCCACCCCACTCCTCCCAGCAGAGGCAGCTTCTCTGAGGCAAGCCCCCCCTTCCAGGTCACAGTCCAGGGACAGGAGTGGGGCCACTGGGGCAAAGCAATGAGTAGTTCTCCTCTAAACGCCCCCTAAAGTCGCAGGGTCCTGGGCAGCTGGCTGGGCCTGGAGGACATAAGTCTGAGAGTCGTTCCTGCATGTCGTGGCTACTCTCGGGCGCCTGCTCTTTGCCAGGCCTGGAGATGTGGCCAGGTGGGCAGGCAGGTACAGCTCAGGTGTAATTTCATGAAGTGCAAGTGTTGGAGAAGTCACACCTGTGGGCTCTCAGGGGATGGTCTGGAGGGCCCAGGCCCCAGGCAGGGAGGGGGCTAGACAAAGGGGTGGAGACGAAAAAGGGGCTGTAGGAAAGTAAGCTCGGAGGGGAGCTGGTCAGAAATCCCTCGCTGCTGTCTGCTGTCGGGTCATGGTGGGTGGTCGCCAGAACTAGGACTTTCCGTCAAGTCTCACCTTTGCAGTAAGCAGCCCTGTCCACTGCCTCTGTGCATCTAGGTTCCCACGCCTTTGAAATGCCCCGTCAGACCTTCCTTCTAAAGCACAGTAATCTTAACTCAGTAATCCCATCCCCCCTTGCTTTCTCTCACCCCCACGTTGTCTTCCTTACCTTCCCTCCTTAATTCCTAATGCATAAAAGAAGCTGCAAAACTGTCATTCTCCAGGCTGTTTAAGATTTTGTTTCCCAGCATATGTCGTCAGATTGACTCAAATAAACTCATAAAAATTCTTTGCAGATTTGGACATTTCATACGTCAGCCGGGGGAGGGGGCTCTCCTATACTCGGCTGGAGACGCTGAGGCCATGGAGAGGGCATTGGAGCTGGACCCCAGGTTCTGGGCCCCGGTGCAGGGCTCTCTGCACATTGACGCGGGTCACACTATGAATGTCACAAAGCCCCATATTTCTGAGCATCCCAGGTGCATGCGCTTTTTATAGGGCTGGCCCGTCCAGGATGCCAGTTGGGCAGAAGGTGAGCCAAGTGGGGAAGGGAACTTTGGGGAATCTCTTCAGAGAGCCCAGGACCTGGGGGGGAGCGGGTGCTGGCCAGCCCAGGCCTTCTGGCACCTGGGCTCACCGAAGCCTGTCTGTGCCCCTCTGGTGTGTAGACTCACTCCCCCGACCCCATCAGGATGCCCCAAGGGTCAGGCCTGCAGTGGGCACCCTGGGGCGTGTGGCCTTCGTGCTGGGCACACAGGGGTCAGAAGGGCCCAGAGGAGAGGCCTTGGCTGACCAGTGCATGGCTCAAAACCGTCTGTTTCTGGTTGGGGTCAACCCAGAGCTGGTGGCCTCTGAGGTTTCCCAGAACCATGTGCCCTGGAAGCTGAGAAAGCCCAGTCAGTGGTGGCCCCTGGGCCGCAGGCGGGGGAGAAGGCCCCACTCCTTCCAGAGCAAGGACAAGGGGCCCTCCCCGGCCCCTCCTCATGCTAGAAATTCAGGGACTGTGGCCTGGCTCCACCCTTCTGAGAATAGGTGGGAGCCAGGGGTGCTGCTGGCCTGGGGGAGGGGTCCACTCCTCCGGGCCTATCCTCTACCCACTGGCCTCCAGCCCTTGAGCTCCCAGGCACTGGGCTGGCTCCCACGGTGGACTGTGCCAGCCAAGGGCCATGGGAGACTCCAGGCTGAGTGAGGGCAAGGCACTCCCTGTCCTGCTGGGTTTACAACCTCCTAATGAGGCCTGCTCCCAGCTGTGAGCCCTCAGGGTACCCAGCTGGTGTGCATCCTCCTCCACAGGACGGGGCTCCACCCTGCCCGAGCAGCCACCAGCATCAGCCTTGCGTCCGCTGCCAGCCTCTCTGCCCCATGCTCTGGGTGGACGTGGTTCTCTGGAAGGCCACCAGAAAGGGAACAGCTTCCACAACCCTCTCCCTGCTGAGAAGAACGTTCCAGCCATGGTGCCGGGAGCCACATGTCTCCCTCCCTCCCTGCTTAGCCAGTGCAGCTTCTCCCAGGGGTGCAGGGCCCAGTGGGGCAGTCAGGGTCTGGGGACAGGAGGCCCAGCAGCCACCTGCTACCAATTGTGAGCACAGTGCTACTGTGGAGCCTGTGGGCGCCCATGCAGCTGCTTCCCGGAGAGCCTCTGGCTGAGCCAGGTGCACCTACACCTGCCCCGCATGTGGGGCTGCTTGATTTGCGGGATGGGGGTGGGGGCACTAATTAGGGACCAGTGACCAATAAGCGTGCGGGAGGAAATGAGTGATGGGCCAATCCATCCCCCCAGTTAACTGTGTGGGCTTGACTGATGCCTGGACTTTTGGGCCTCAGTTTCCCCATTTGTGGATAGGATGGGTGGCTGGGTGGCCTGGGAGTGGGAGGAAGGCAGGAGACACACTCGTTGGGCCACTTGGGGGTGACTTGGTAGAAATGTGATATGGGCAGCAGGGGTGGAAGTGGGCAGAAATGGGGCACCCATCTCACCTCCCCCCAGAGCCTCCCAGGCCTGTGTGTAGCCTGGCCAGCGTAACACCTCCGTCCTCCACGCTGCCCCTCTCCTTGGCCGGACATGCAGGCACACAGTGGGAGCAGAGGGCGGCCACCTCACCCAGCCCCTTCCACCACACTCCCTCAGTCCCGGCCCCACTCCCCCTCCAGGCCTTCAGTTGCTCAGGTCAGCTGTCCATGGTTAACCCTCCCTGAGCCGGTACTCAGGCTGACTCAGCACATTCTCGGGCAGCCGCCCCCCCCCCTGCTGCCCAGCCGGCTCAGTGCCCTTGGGCAGCAGGGGCCTGGCCGCCAGAGGGGCTCAGAGGGCCCCCTCACACACACGCATTTCTGCCTGCTGGCCCCTCCAGAGATGTTGGGAAGCCCACCGGGATGAGAGAGGCTTCCCAGGCTCAGACCCCACACTGCCAGGGCTCCCAGCTGTCAAGGGCCAAAGTGCACTGCTGTGGGGGGGGCCTCTGGGCAGGAGGGAGGGCAGGGCAGGTCGAATCTCCCATCTGGGACCGGGCTACTGCCCAGAGGCGGCTGTGCCTCGCAAGGGATCATAAATCAGCTCGGAACCGGCCTGTCTGGGGGCTCCGGATTCCTACACGCACGCACACGCACCCCCCCCCACCCCCCGCCACCGTCTGGGCAGGTCCTCCCCCACTCGGAGCTTCTCCTGCAAAGAGAACCACCTCTTCTCACCCTCTGCAGCTGGAAGAACGAAAACTGAAGTTATAGAATTATGGAGTTAGGGAGATGGGAGGGAGAGCGTTCCCACTGCCTATTCCCCGAGTCCAAAGCGGGAGAGGAGGGGCCGCCCAGCCCCTGGGGATTCTGGATTTGCAGGAGGTCAGGGGCAGCCAGGAAGATGTGGACGGTGGTGCAAGCTTCGGGGAGCAGCTGCCAGTGCAGGGCCCCCACCAGGACCAGCTGGTCTCTGCCTCATGCACTCACTCGGCCCCTCACGACTGTCCAGGGGGTCCCACGTGGGGCAGACACCAGGCTGGCCTGGCGCAAAGAATGGGGGGAGCTGCCAGCCCGGCAGCTGTGGCCTTATCCCCACCCCCTCGGGGCTTCCCTGAGGCCGATTTGGGCCAAGAGCCTCCCAAGCTCAGAGCAGCTGGGACACAGCCCCGGAGTTCAGGCCTCTAGGTCCTGCCCCATTTCCTGGCTAGTCCTCCAGGGCCTGCCCTGTGCGGGGGGGTGGCCCTGAGCAGGAGGGTTCAGCCTGGCAGACAAATGTGGGGTCCACAGTGCCCCACCTTGCAGTAGTAGAGGTCCTCGGTGGGGACCCCAAGCAAGACAGCCCCTGGCACAAGGGTGGGTTCACACCTAGGCCCTCCCCCACAAACAGCAGGTGCTTAATAGGTGTCCTCTTCCACAGTCTTCCTGGCTCACACCTGGCTATGAGCACCCTCCCTTGGCCACAGGGGACCCCAAACTGGTCACCCAGTCCTGTCCCTCCTGATCCATTTCCCTGTTTTAGAGTATTTTTAAACCAAACCGCGGCAGGCAGGAGGGGGGTTGGTGGGCTGAATCTGCCCTGGTGGCCCAAGGGGAGCATGAGGTCCCCAATCGGGGTTTCCCTGTCCCTCTGCAGATCCTTTCCCTCCCCTGCCACTGCCACTCACAGCTGGCAGAGTGCACCTTCTCGCACACCTGCAGGGCGGGGCAGATACGGGAGCAGCTGAGGGGAATAAAACCGAAAACCAGCCTGGGGAGGGCGGTGAGGCTGCGCGGGGGGGCAAGCGTCCAGCAGTTTCCCTGCAGCGGTCGCTTGGGACGGAGTGCTGTTCTGGGAGCGCGGGCTGGGCCGTCGGTGGACAGACGCCGGGGCTGGACCCGGGGCTGGTGCGCCGGACTCGCTCGGCCGCCGTGCCTGCGCCCAGGCCGCCGGGGGCGCTCGGCCGCCGAGAGGTGCCCGAAGTTAGGGAAGCAGAGCAGAGCCTCTAGGCTGGGACGAGTCGGCGACTGGGGGCGTCGGGGGCGCGGGGCGGCTGCCCGCGACCGAGCCAGGCCCTGGGGGGCCTGGGCGACCCCGCGCTCCCGCGGCCTGGCCTGGGGCCAGCAGGTGCCCCCTTCCGGGAGGCCGGCCAGCCAGGGTCCGAAGGGTTAAGGCCGCCCCTCCCCCCGCCCCCTCCCCGGGGAGCGCGGCTCCGGAGCCCGGCGGGCCGGGCCGGGGCGGGGCCTGACGTCCGCGGGCGGAGCGCG